CCAGGGATTGAACTCATGACCACGCTCTTGCAAGGCAGGCGCTTATGCCACTGAGCTAAATCCCCAGCCCTACACTAACACTTTTTGTAGTGATTACATATGGAATCAATGTTTTGAATATATTGAGTTAAATACAAAATATTGAAATTTTTTTTCTTCTTTTTTTTTGTTTTGACATGGTTGCATTTTTTTTCTTTTTTGTTTTTTTGAGATAGGGTCTCACTATGTAGTTCAGACTGGCCTCGAACTTGTAGCAGTCCTCCTGGCTCAGCCTTCCAAGTCCTGAGATCACAGGCTACTTTATATTTTTAATAGACTACACTGTTCTAGGTCATACTTATCTTTTTTTCAAGATTTCTTAAATCACTTCCATTAAAATTTTGCTAACATGATCTAGCTCAAGCTTCCTACAAGGCATCCTAGCATGTATCTCTGCATGTAGACGACTGTTCGTGCTTCCATCTCCCTTGTCCATGCTGCATTCTGTCTCCAAATCTATAGTACTATTGAAAATTTCAAATTAAACCACTCTCCAGTTTAGAATAAAATGCCAAATTGCTTCTCTCTGCCCATCAGAGTTCAAACTGTTATAGTTGTCAGCCCTGTGCTCCTTTGTAAATTACCCATGATGCTTCAGAACAGCAAGAACATGCAAAATAATATGAATGAAACTGTATTTAGCTGTAGGAGTCTTAGTTTTCCTGTGGGGTGTGTGTGTGTGTGTGTGTGTGTGTGTGTGTGTGTGTAGGACATCACATAGCATGCCCCAATGACCCTAACTTAATTAAGTCTGACTCAGAGAAAGTTGTCTGTACAAAAACAAATTATATAAGCTAAACTAAGTTTCCTTCCCAACAGTCTCCAAAGCCACTCACCTGTTGACAAAGACCAGCAACCAATAATAACAGAAAGGGTAAAAAGAGAGGCCTCTGCAGCAGGGCCTTAACTCCCCTACTGAGAGGACAGAAGTGATAACACTGTCTTAAAGATCAGAAAGCCTGAATTTTGTCCACCAATGAGAATCAGTTCTCTTTGAGAAGAGTGAGAAATCACTAAATTTTTCTGAAGCAATTTATGAAGACAATTGAAAAGAGAAGGAAAGGAGAAACAAGTATCATTCAGCTTTTCAGATCATTGTTTGCTGATTGTCAGCTGGCAGATGGAGCAGACTCCAAAAGTTCTTCTTTCCAAGTAAAATCAAAAAATGTTTTAATAGTAAATCTTCCGTATTCTTGGACTGCAGGGAAAGAGGAAAGGAAGTCACCAAGAAGCAAGCCCTCCCTGCGAGTCAGCACCATGCATGGGGGCACTGTAGCAGAGCCAGATGCCAGCCCCTTCTGGCACATGGGCTGGGAAACAAGAAGAGCCAATTCCTACCCTTGCTGTAAGCAACCAGCTGACCCAGAGAAATGCAGGCCGTGATGATAGCTAGTGAGGTGAAATACAATATGTTTCACTGACTTTGCAGGTCTAATAGTCTTAGCATCTATTCAGAGGATAACAATACAAATGTAGCATCTATGAGGATCTTCTTCTGAAGGTGAATACCCTATCATCTTGTTTTGAAGTCTTATATCATTTTCATTGTTTTATTTGGTTGAGTTTTATTCTGTTTTGTTTTGTTATATCTGATGGCATGGGTGGATATTTCAAAGATAACAAGGTATATTACGGTAGCCATTTTGGATTTACTATTGTCTTGTTTTGAAGTCCTTTATTGCACTCATTGTTTTATTTTTATTGGTTCTATTCTGTTCTGTTTTATTTGATTGTTACTATGTCTGACGTTATGGGCGGTTATTTTGAAGACAAGAGGAAGCATTATGGTAACCATTATTGATTTTCTATTGTTCTGAAGTCTTACGTCACTTATACTGGTTTGTTTTGGTTGGCTTTATTCTGTTTTATTTTGCTTGGTTTTATTCTCTTTAAAATAAAAAAATCAAATCTTCCAATGGAATCTCCTAATTTGAGATTCAACACCAAACCCTACAATTATTTCTCTCAACTCAAATCTTACACACCAGCTCATCACCAGCGGAATACTGGTTACTGCTCATTAGTGACCGTTTCTACTAATGTCATGCCTTCGCTCAGGACATCATCACCCTTGCACGCAGTGCCTTAAAACTGTAGAGCTAGAAGGGAAGTGGAAATCATCTGCTTTTACTCTTTGTTTGATGAAACAATGATCTGGAACTGACGAAGTGAATTTCTGATAGAGATCAGAACCCAGATCTGCTTTTGCCATCACATCACTCATTTTTCTTATTTTCTGATTTTGCATATTGAAATTTTACCTGTTCATCCATATCTAAGATAAACAGTACTTGATGTCCAGCCAGCAGCAAGCCATTGCCCAGCGTCTACTTTCCTCCACTCTGTAGCCTTTTAGATATGCATGATTCTTAGCTGTCGTCTGAGATTTTCACAAGTGTGAGATAATGAAGCTCTCTGATGTAACATACATCCAGTAAAATCCTTTCCATGTAGTGTTTTACATGTGTCAAATAAGTTATTAATAAAAAATGTAGCAATTTGTAGTCTTTATCATTAAATCTATAAGAAAATGAATGCATAAAAATGTTAAACAGGTACAACCAAGAGGTAATATGTTTTTATCTCCTTGAACAAAAAGATTCCATATGTATTTTGATATTTGTTATTGATTTTTAAAAAGATTATAATTTCTCCCCTCTTCATGTCTTTCCTTCAACCAGAAGCATTAGTGATAAAAGCAGAGATCAAGCTATTAGAAATTTAAAGATTCAGTTTGGAAATCTGCATGTCTCTCTAAAATATGATGAATGCCAGTTCAGCTGAGTGCAGAAAGGCTTCCAGCCAGCTGAGTTAAATTGAAAAAGAGCTGGTTAGATTTCCTTAGTGGATGTTTAAATGTAAAAAAAAAAAAAAATCCATCACCACAATTCTTCTGTTCCAGTATGTTTATTAAGTAAATATTTATTATACTAAAATCCATTTGAAACTAGAGGGGCGAGAAGAACAGGAATTTCATAGCTTTGTATATGGGATTCACTTACAGAGGATAAAATCATCAATTTGGAGTAATTTAAAAGGGACAAAACCATCAATATACTTCTATTTTTAAATGTGGTTTATGTAGGCCTCAAAGAAAGGTTAAAAACTAAAACAGCCCAAATTAAAATTCCTCCTAGGAAAAATACACACACACACACACATTCCATTCCAGAGGGCCTACCAGTAATTTTTAAAATGAAAAAAGGTGGGTAGCAAAAACTAAAAAGTAGTAACAGGTCTCCATGTTTTTGACATTAAGAATCAAACCACGAATGTTTGTTACAAATAACGTTTAGTGACCATGGGGATAAATAAATATTTAGACACAAATTCACTTCTATGATACAAAAAATGCTTACTAAATATTTATCATATATAAGTCAGTGTGCTGGTTAGAGGATATAAAGATAATTAAAGATCATTATATGTATAAAGATAATGAAAGGCTATTTAATTACTGTACTCAACCAGAAGTTTCAGGCAGTATGGATACTATTTATAGATACTATTTACAGATCAGTTAATCTTATGATCAATCCCTCCTCAATTATTCACTTTAGCACTGATTCCTGAAAATGGTCTGAATTACCAGACTAACTTTCTCTGTTCATCATTTGCTCATTTAATTAATTTCCAAGAAATTATGGTTTTCATTTGGTCCAAGGACTCTCTAAAAATCCCCCTGAAAGACATTTCAAGAGATGAAACTAGGGCCAGGGATTTAGCTCACTGATGTAAGTGCCTGCCTGGCAAGCGCAAGATTGTGAGTTTGATTCCCATTACAAAAAAAAAAAGAAGAAGAAAGAAAGAAACTTTTGGAAGTTCTAGACCAACAGGCTTCATTCAAAATATTTACACATTTCAATAATGTTTACTCATGTGCTATATTTTACTGAATTCTGTGAAATGCATTAAAATTGTCTTCACTGAAAAAGTAAGGGAGAATAATTTAGTATTTATAGGAGAAATTGAAATATAAATCAAACACAAAGACAACTTGAGCAAAATTTTATCAAACTGTGAGTTTCTTCAAAAGTATGACTAGTCAATAGTCGAAAGCTGAACTTTTTCTACTTCCAACTAGGACGTCTATTCCTTAAGAAGTACTTTATTCTTTGTCTCTGTGAACTTAACAAAGGGTCTCTGCTATTAAGCACTCAGTAATGTACATTGATGAATGAATGAATGAATGAATGAATGAATGAATGAAGACAGTGAAAAATATGGCCTTACAGTATTTGGAACAATTTCACTTCTTAAATTTAAGTGAACCCAAAAGTTAAACAAAGGTAGGGAATAACTCAGTAATGTAGAACCACCCGAGAAAACCAGCAGGTTTTACCCTTGGCTAAAACGGGGAGTTCAACCTGAGAAAATGTAATGGATTAGATGTTGAAGCTGTGGAATTACTGGGAGGTAGTGAAAAGGTAAGGGGTAACATCTAGTTAAAGAAGTTAGATTGTTAAAAGTCTGCCTTTGAGGGGAACATTGGGACCTCAGGCTCCTTTCTCTGTGAGGTAAACAGACTGCCTCTGCCGCATGTTTCACTGTTACATATCATGCAACCCCAGGCTTACAGTGATGGCCAAGTGACCATGAACTGAAGCCTCTGAAAGCATGCATCAAAATAAGTCTTTTCATCTGATAGATTGATTTTCTCAGGTATTTTGAAAGTGACCGAAACCAGATTCACAGAATATCTGAAAGAGGGTGGCCACAGACCGACCCAGGGTCGCTCCACTGGGCCTTGCAGGGAAATCCTATAGGACCTTCCACTTGAGTCCACTTGAGATGCAGCCCGCATGGAAACTTCACCACCAAATGCTGTAGCCCACAACCTGACACCCTAGAAATCTGTCCAGTGTTTTGGACAGAGCTATCCAATTCCAAAGAGTCAACAGTATTTACTGCCAAAGATTCCTCTGCAAAAGTTTGAGGACATATCATTCTCATATTTTGCCCTCCTTGGTGAGAGGTTTAAATAAACACATAGCTTCATTCTGAAACTTACGAGCTGGGGATTGTTTGAAACTTCCGTTGCACACCATTCAGAAGAACATGTATGACCTCCAGGAAGACTCAGGCTTGGAACTCTTCTAAGAGGGTAATCATAAAATTAATGTTTTCTCTATTTAAAAGTGATTTGAAATTAAAAATAGCTCTATTTATCTTAGAGAGGGGAGATAGGCTGTCAAGGAGCAAGTTTACATTGCTAAAGACCATCCATAATCCACACTACACCCTGCAGGGTTTTAGCGTCGAATATGTTGCTCAGGGCACCTGTCACCTGTGCAATGTATCTTATTTGATCAATAAAATGCATGATTAATTTAAACTTTGTAGGAACACAAACAAAAGTTCGTTTTTTCAAATATTCATGGTTTGGCATTTAAAAGAGCTCTGATTTGTGTACTGAAAAGTCTCATTTATTATTTTCATTTTGTGGGAAATATGAGGAATTTAATTGACTTTACCAAGGTCATCAGCAAAGAAATGATGAGAAACCTGAGAGTGAATCCTTGCTGCTTCCAAACATTTTGAAAGTTGGCTCATGTAAAGGGAAGGAAAAAAAAAGCACGATGAAAGAGCACTTCTGGGAATGAAAAAGAGAAACCTTGTCTTTCAGTGCCTAGAGGTCTGTGCTAGTTCCAAAGATAAAGCTTTTATTTTAGGTACAGAGCTCACAGTAATCTTCATTTTAACTGGACACTTTGCTTGTTATATTCTGAATTTGGAAAAATAAATGGAATAATCACAAAAGCACAGTCTTATAAAATTTGTCCTTACAAGTCTGATGTTTAATGGCAGGGTTCTGTGGCTTTGGTAGGTATTTAAATAATTCCATGTTTCAGTGAGATCTACATGTAAAAACTGTCTCCTGAATTGTAACATTTATTTAACCACTATTTGTTGAAAGTTTATTAGCCAGGTACTTGTTAATCTCATCTTCTCATTTAATTCTTGTAAAATAACTGCCTAGGGAAATGCTGCTCATATCATCTTTATTTTATAGATAAGGAAATAAGATATAAAAAAGTTGGCTAATTTTCCTGAGGTCATGGGAATAGTAAAGGCTGGAGGATAAGTACAAACAGGCTGAATATTATCAAAATTATATTAAGTAAAGCTCACAGCCTTGCCAAAGGCTACTCTGTGGTGTATTAAATCTGATTTTTCAGGGTAGTTTCTTTAAAACAACAAAATTAGCAACAGTGAAAACTGCAAAAGAACACCATTTCGTATTTACAGAAAATCTTACCTTTGTTTCTTGCATTTTTATTATTTGTATAATTTTTCTCTGTTGGTTTGATCCTTTGTGCCATTATATAGACAAAGACTTGTAGCAAATTGAACTCAAATTCTCACTTTGCCTTACCTGGGCCATGTAACCTAGGGCATGTTATCTAATTTCTTCAAATCTCTTTCATATTGGCATTCAATAAAAAGTTCCCAAATTTCTAGGTACAAAGGGTTTATTAGGAAGTAAAAAAGGAATTAGCCCAAATTTTTTCTTTCTATTTACAAATGATGAAAGTGAGACCCAGAGAAATAAGTTTCTCTAAAAAGTTTTCCCAGATAGCTCTGTGTAGAACTAGAAAACACATGGTTGCCAGAGTCTCAGGTATGTGCTCTGTCACTACCCTGTGCTATCTCAAGTTGATTAATATATGACTGATAAACTCTGCCATCAGAAGTTTTCCTCAGACAGATATGGAATGATTGTATTCATCTACTGTATGAGCAGAGTTTCAGTATGGAGCAGAGAATTGATTTTGAAACTAAATTAATGGGAGAATCCCTTCTGGCTATATGTGCAACTCCCACTTGCCAATTTGAGCCCATGACATTTTACTTGAGGTTGAGAAGTTACATAAATAACACGGTGGTGGTTTCTGGTCTTTCGATGCTTTGTTGCATGACTTTGCATCGTAGGCATCTGCACAGAACATTTCCATGGATCATTCCCATGGGGAGTGGTTTCTTACAATTACTGCTGCCAATTGACTCCTCAAATGACTCCAAGGGTCTTTCTGTGGCTCTGATATTTCAAAATGTAGTTTTTAATGTGAATACAGTTGGCTTGCTCAGCAGATTTAGAGAAAACACAAAGATGGAATACTATGAATATGATAATGGAGTGATCAGGTTATAACGAGCCTAGAATAATGGGGCAAGTGGAATATAATGAAATTTTAAAAGGGAGATTTTAAGTTCTTCGACTTGCATGCACAAAAAAAATCACTACAGAGAGAAGATGGGAGTATTTGACATAAAGCTGGCATGGATAAATTGCTACTCTTACCATAGATTAAAATCTTTAAAATCTTAAGAGTTGACTATAATCTTTCATGTTAGTCAACAGCAATGCGACTGCCAAAAAATATCATTTTGTCCTGTGTAGCTTACAACATTTGGATTTCAGAACAAAAAAAGTGACGATTTGGTTCTATTCATTTTAGTCAGATTACATATGAACTTTTATTTTCCTTTCTAAGTACCAAAGCCATAGTTAAACTGATAAATATACAGAACTTTTTATAAGATCAAGAGATGACTCAAAACATATAATAAACAGTATGAAGGGTGACTGAAGGAAGTTTGTTATAGAGGGATATGATAGTCGTCAAGAATTGCAGGCTAATAAGTCAATCTGCCACAGTTTCAAAGATGTTGGCATGAGACATTTTTCCTGGGTCAGAGACAATGGGTAGTTTATTACGCCTAGTGATACAGTACTCAGTATCAAGCATTTCTTATGCCTGTTCCTTAAGCCTAATTCCCACTGAGCAACTCAAGGAGGGTCAGATAAAGCTTGCACACACGGTGGATTGATTTACAAGAAAGGGATCCTGAACTTAGGGAACTCCAGTGTTTTATAATGGGCTGTAAGCCAACTGGCCAAACCATTTTCCAGAAAGAAGGGAGATACTATCGCTAAATAAACCTCTTCAAAAAGGACAAGCTAGCATTTGATTCTTTGCTAGAAAGACATGCGGAAACAGGAGAGACTCGTGAGAACTAGCTTTCAACAATGACTACACATTAAGAGTTGTCATGTTAATCTCTGTCTCCTAGGTGATAAATCAAGACAAACTGGTAAAAACTATGGAAAGAAAACTTTCTGGCATATAAAGCTATTTATGGAAAGCAAAGCTAGTATAAATAGGGTGCACACCCTAATAAGTTAGACAGGTGCAAGAAGATCTAGATGTTCAATTTTTTGTTGATCATTAAGGAAAATACTCATGTACCAAGAAGTACTGACCTTAAAGGTAATTAAGCTTCTTCTTGAACTCCAATTATCAGAGAATAGAGGGAAAGAATGAACCAAAGCAGTTTTTCATTTACACATGGAACATATATTCTAGAACATTCCATTAGATGCCTAAAATCTCAGAAAGTACTAAACCTTGTATATATTATGATTTTTCCTGTACATACATGTCTGTGGTAAAGTTTAATTATAAAATAGATACATTAAGAGGTTACCAATAGTAACTCCTAATCCAATAAAATGATTATAACAAAACTGTAATCAGTGATGGTGAATTGACAACTATTTGGAAGAAAACAAGAGACAATATGATAGATAGTGAAGATCTCAGGTCATCTAGCTTTGAATTTTATATGTCTTACATTGCTTTCTTATGTCCTATTTTGTTCTGTTTAATTTTACCCCCTTTAACATAAAAAAAAAAACCTGTACGGAAAGTTATATGATATTGTCTCTGCTTCTGTGACTTTCTATTTCATATTTGTATACTATGATGCATTGTGGGTAACTGAGCCTGCAGAAAAAGAAGCTATGGCTAAGGACGGAATCCTGCAAAAAGGTTAAAAGTCAGGACAAAAAAGGATTGAATGTACTTTCGAGCCACAGAGGCTGCATTGTACTGTGTGTCTTCTGCACCTCTGCGTCCCAAGAGGATGCAGGCATTTCTGATGAGCCACAGACGGGGTGGCATTCACAGCCTCTGTGATCTTTGCTATAATCTCCCTTGTCAGCCCTCTTCAGTTTTAAAGTCTTTTTGGAAACAAAGAAACTCGAAGCCTTACCCTAGATTGATTGTCCTTATTTTGAGAAACAGAAGCTTTGCTAAATAATCCCCTACAATCTAACTGCAAATAGTTCTGACTTCTCAGGCACTTAAACTGAAGCTTCAGAATATTCTAAAGGAAATTGCATTACCTATGCTTTTTTTCCCTAAATAATACATGTTTTATTCCCCAACACCCCCTACAACCAAGAGACACTATTTAAGATTATTATAACTCTTACGTCAATTAGCAGGTAGATCTATTTTCACTCATGAATTTATTCACTTACCAGTTTAAATTCATCTATGTATCCCCTGGATAAGATGACCCAGCTCCACAACCAGTGGGTAGGCAGATGACTGTGGTCATGTAATACAACCAACTTCTTTGTCTCATTATGTGTAAAGTAAGTCAGTTGACATAGACGACAGCAATGTTTCTTTGCAGCTTTTCAATCTTTAAGGAACCCATGAAAATTCGTTTTTGCTTTTTAAAGAACTCAAGTTTGGTGCTCTATGGCTGATAAGTCAGGGCTTGGGAAATAATTAGGGTAGACATCTCTTTTTTGTGTGTGTCTTTTTCCTTTTTATCGGTACTGGGGATCGAACTCACGACTGCCTGCTTGCAAGGCAGGCGCTTATGCCGCTAAGCTAAATCCCCAGCCCCTGTCTTTTATGTTTTAAAAGAAATCTCTCTTACCCTAAAGCAAAGTATAGAAACATCAATCAGAATAGGATCTTGTAGACAAAACATGAGCATTCATTTGTAACCAAAAATGTGACCGAAGTTCTACTCTGAAAAAGTTCAACAGGGCATGAGAGAAAGAATGAAAGAAAGAAAGAAAGAAAGAAAGAAAGAAAGAAAGAAAGAAAGAAAGAAAGAAAGAAAGAAAGAGAAAGAGGGAGAGAGAGAGAGAGAGAGAGAGAGAGAGAGAGAGAGAGAGAGAGAGAGAGAGAGAATGGAGCAAGCTTGGAAAGGGACCAGATTTTTAATAAATAAAACTGCGAACAACAGGATGGGGAGGTCTCTCAGCTGCATAGTGCACATCTGACTGGAAAATTCATGAATACGTTTTCAGAAAGAGGAGGAGTGAACAAAGCTTAAAGAGTTCATTTTTTTCTATCTCTAAACAGATAATCTCTTCTGGCATGGGCCAGTTTGATCCTGAGGGATTGATCGCATGTATTTAGATAATGATTTGGGCACTTATTTTTTGAAGATCATGACTCTACTTTGCAACTTTGTAATTCATCAATAAATGATTTTTCTTGAAAGATTAACATCGCACAAACCCCAGATCTTGTTCAGTGCTTATCACCTTAGAATATTTATTAAAAGTAATCTCATTTCAATATATTTTATATGCAAGTCTAAAAATTTTATCTAGAAAGATTTTTTAGTATAATGATCTACTCAGTGAAAATAATCAGTATCTACCATAATAACTTATAGTAGATAAGTGACTTTTTTCATTGCACCAATTTTTTTGTTTTTTGTTTTTGACGCAAGATCTGCTCTTCAGGCTGAGCCCGAACTCACAGTGATCCTCGTACCTTAGCCTCCCGAATGCAGGGTCTACTGGTGTGTGCCACCACATCAGGTCTCATTACACCAACTTTACCAATGTACTTATAATATTAAAATCTCAAAGGCTAAGTTTCGCACTGTGAAGTCAATAAGAAAAGAACAAAATACATATTTTTTATTACATAAACATCTATGTTAATTTTTGCCTCCTTCAACTGCTGTTCATTTTGCCTCAGCTTTAACCCTTTAAAATAGCAAAAGAATTCTCTCTTGCAATACTGATTAACAGCAGGAGTCAAGTTAATTGCCTTCATATCCAAGTTAAATCCACTTTACTTAGTGTCAAAGGTATTTTCAGAGGTCTCTTTAAGGGAGAGGTGTTATGAACTTAAGGTCTCTTGGAAGGCATAAAAATTGGGTGACTCAGAGCTCAAGCAATGAATGAGTGGGCCTCATTTTTCTGAATCAAAAGTTAGACTGATTCTAATTTTCCAGTTCTGACAGTGGACAAGTTTCTTTCTTCTTTCCTCTGAGATAGAGCCAGCCATGGTGAAGGCCAGCTGTGCTTGTTTTGAGTATCTTGTAAGACAGCAAAATGCTGCACTGTAACTCCTGTAGCCAGACAGCCAGGAAAGAGAAGGCTTAGGTGATCTTTTGAGAATGTGTGTTTCACCCCAAGGAACAGGGAGTAATTATAACTGGGAGTGAGCTCTTCTCACAGGGAGGATCAGTTGACTCCGCATAGCCCAGAGCTTTTTATCACTTGTTATGGTATTCTCACTCTGGACAAGGAAGGAGGGGGAGACCCAGGAACGGGAGCAGTAATCTGAGAAGAAAAACAAAAATAGAGTAGGCACTGAAGGGGAGAAAGAGGAGCAGGCTCAGGGAGGCCCTGAAGTCTTTACTGACAGTACCTGAGTTTCAAGGCCTTGGAGAGGGCCGGGGACTATTTCTGTCTGTTCCCATTATAGAAGTGGAACTAGATTTGCCCCCAAGAAGGGCAGAAGCTAGGTATGCCATGCCACTTTTCACACCATTTTCCTTCCCATGAATCCACAGTGTTTCTCATCCTTGGTTTTTCTGTTTGGGAACATCCCCACTTTTGGCTTTCCCATTGGAGCACCAGCCAGTTTTCCAACTGGCCTTCCAAATCGGGCTTCTCTCCTAGCCCGGAGCCCCCTACACACACACACACACACACACACACACACACACACACACTCCTTTTCCTTACCTATGGATTTCCTTTCTCCCTGCTTTAGCACATCCTTAAAACACCGCCATCCTTTTCAGTCAGGATTTTTATCTTGCAGGAATAACTTTCATTGCATAAAGGTTTACACCAAACATGGAGGCCAACAGTATCACACTCGAGTCACGGCCTCCAGGACATTTCCTTCACCATTGTGGCCTAAACCTATCCCTCCAGGTGTATGAACCTCCTAGGGTGTGTTCTCACCAACTCAGCTCTATGGCATCAACCCCCGGGGATGGAAAGCTGTGATAATATCCATTGTCAATAGACTCCCAGGAGAAACTGAGGCCTTAGGGTGCCCTAGTGGGGTGGAACTGTCACTGTGTTTCACTGTGTCTTCTTGCATCTTTCCATATTGTTTGATATATTCTTACCATGATTGTGTACAACTTTTATAATAAAAACTAAACCTATGAGATAGGAGGTAGGGTGTGACAAAGCTGGTTGGAGAAATAACAGAAAGCTGTTAATTGCACGGCATCCATTTGTAGAACTTCTTTCTCACAGGCTCCCAAGGGAAGTGGATGACATCAAAGAGATGGGAAGCCACAAGAAGCTCACTGTCATAACTCCTCAGAGCAGCCCGCTCTGTGACTTCCGGATGACAGTAGAGCACACTTTTATTTTTGCTTTTCTCTCTTTTTCTCTTTTTTTGGGCCCAATTTCACTCTGCAGAGCCAGTTTTTTCCCCTTACACTCTTACTCTTCACTTTTCAAATAAACTTTTGGCACCATTTTGGGCTTTTTTCCTTCAATTCTTTGTTCAAGGCAAGAAGGACCCAGAATAAGTTTAACTGACAACCCATTTCTAAAGGAACTACCTGGTAACAGATATACTAAGTTACCCCGGTGATTCTGATGATGGGGAGCCAGAGGATGCTTATTTGAATAATAATTCAGTCACAGGCCTTAATTTATTACCTCTCTTGCAAGATAAAAATCAAAAGCATGAACTAACCTACCCTTTCTTTCTCTTTAGGGCTCAAAATAAAGCTTTCATCAACTTTTGAGTAGGACTGAATAGACTCTCAAGAAAATAGGTCAAAAATGTAGTGACACATATATTACATTTTCAGTACTGGGAACTGCACCCAGAGAGCACTGCACTGCATTGCTAATTCTTTTTATTTTAAATTGTGTCCAGACTGGCAGAAAGGAATCCAGACTTTCCTACACCGCTGGCAGTAATGTAAAAGCAGTTTCATAGTTCTTCAGAACACTAAGCATAGAGTTACCATATGATCCAGAAAATCCACTTCTAAATAATGGATTCCAGGAGAATTGAAAACACATATCATACAGAAAACTTGCACACAAATGTTCTCAGCAGCATTAATCACAGTAGCCAATAGACAACCATGATAACAATAGATAAACTGAGGGATAGTCAAACAATGGGATATCATTTCGCTATACGAAGTAACGCATATCGTATTTCAACATGAATGAACCTTGACAATGTACTAAGTGAAAGAAGTCAGACACTATGCTTACATGCTACAAAATTTCATGATAGAAAATGTCCAGAATTGGCAAATGCATGGAGACAAGAAGTGGCTGATTGGAGTTGAGAAAGAAAGGCCTGGGGATGCCTTTCACTGTTCTAGAGTATGATATTGATAGTTACAGAAATCTGTGGGGTATAATAAAAATTATTCAATTGTTTTCTTTTAAAGGTTGAACTTTATAGTATGCATATGCAAAGTATATCTTGGTAAAACCTTTTTAAAGAAAAGAAAAGACACTCAAAAAATATAAAAATAAAAAAAATTTACTAAAGATTTTTTAAATAAAAAAATGATAGTTAACTATGGAGAAAATTAGAAGACAGAGACTATAAATACTGATAAAGGGATCTGACTCAGATACAAGATTTTTCCTTCCCATGCACATTAGAATGAGGTGTTCACAGTTTCCTTACTGATGCACTTAGTTCTTAGAATAGATTTTAATCTCTTCAGGACAATTTTCGGGAGCCCTTCTGAAATGGAAGAAGGATGAATTAGGTGACCTTTTATGCTCTTTGCTTTTTTCCACCTCTCTCAGAAAAATGTTGATCCTCAGCATTCAAAATGACGCACCATCCCAGCACATTCATCTTGGTGGGATGAGAAGAGACGTTGCTGTTTCTTGAAAAGTTTTATTTGGTGGCTATTGGAATCAGAGTGCACATTCCTCTTACAACCGCAAACGTCTTCTCTACATAGTTGGTTTTTTACTTAAAAAAGAAAGACAACCCAAAGCTGTATTTGTAACCTATGTTAATCATTAATGTAAATAAATTCAAATTACGTGTAGCTACCTCTACATATGCTATTACTATGAACACAGAGAATACACGAGGCCTAGTTTTGGAAAATTCTGTAACTTTCTAATTCAGTTTTGTTTGAAAACTAAAATGATATTAGTCTCACTCGTATTTACTGAGGACAAAACCATCTTAGTTAAGCCTCTCAGTGCTCCCTGTGTTAGGAGAAAGTAAGTCCACTTTGAGTCCTCCCAGGACAGCCTTCTTTACTCTGCCCAGGGCCCCAGCGCCTCGGAGATAAAGCAAACAGAGCCGCATGATTGGAGCGAGGCAGGTTCTTCTTGGTCTGCTCACCACATTCAGGACAGATCTTTTCTAGCCTTGAATTGTCTGCTCCGGCCAGGTAATGCTCGGTCTCATAGCAAAGTCTGTGTCAGTACTGCTGCTCTTGATTTCGGTAACACGCTCAACAGTATTCGTTCATTGACTAAACACAGTGTTTAAACTTTCCTATTTTTAGGGTCAGTAATGTAAACTTTCATTTCCAGTGTTCTCAAATAAAACTTCTTGAATTCAGCTCTGTGTTTATGGAATAACAGCTTGTGGTCCTAGGACCAGTTTTGTTAAACTCTGATTTGTTGAGAATAGTCACTAAAGGGAACCCTTCCCAGGCACAAGCCACTTCCCCTCCTCAGGAAGAGAGCCCTGAGTCCTGCTAAGCGAGGGCATGATCAAACTGCCCTTTCTCCAGGCCTTCTAGCCCATCAGCCCAGGTCGAGGTCGGCATGCTCCGATACGGGTCCAGAAGAATCCGGAAGCACCTGACAATAAGGATGCCCAAGAAAATAAACAACAAAACCACAAAAACAAAGGTCGTTTTCTGCTCCAGAGACATGCTAGAATCTGAGGACGCGTTCCCGAGGGGCACGAGGGGTGAGGGGATGGGCTGTCCTCCATCCATTGTCCAGGGAGGGCAGAGCATAGGACATCCGGGTTTCCTTTTCTTCCATCATCAGTCTGCTGAGATCATGGTGACTGCACCCCGGAGAGCTCAAGTAATCTGGAAGGAGAAAGAAAGGAAGCAGAGGGACTAACTATCACACCGGCATTTATCTTCCAGATCGATGGTCATGTTTTTCCAACAAAAGAAATCCTCAAACAGGCTACTCCTTTCACCAGAGATGCTTCATTTTGTATAATTATGAAGGATATTTCACCCTTCTGTGAAACAACTAGACTGTCCTCAGACTAGCCACTAGGGCCAGGAGGGATGGGCAGAAAACCTAAGTATAAGACAGGAGATGAGAAATGGGCGCGGTAATGTTGATCTTGGGATGTGCTATCAACCAGTCCCAGCCTCCCCATCTCTTCTCTCAGTTCTATTACTGTCATGCTGTTCTCATCATAGTGCCACTGACTGAGCACCAGCTATGTGCCGGGACTGCGCCTACACTTGGCATGTGTCAGCCAGTCTACTAGGGACTCCACAGAGGCAGGGACCTAGGTAGCCGTAGAGCAAAGGAAATCAGACCAGAAAAGGTGCTCAATATGGGTGATCCGTCAGGGGTTTAGGCTCTAGGCTGGAGGCTCTGGCCTCACTACTAAATGAGGCTGGGACCTTGAAGAGGTCGCTAAGCTGTAAAAAATCATCAGAAATGTCTGTACCATCTCATGGTGCAAGGATACTGATGAATGTCTGTTAAAACCCTTTGAAAGGTATACAAAGAAGAAGAGAAAAAAGACAACAAAGCCTTGCTTCACTGAAGACCTGACTAAAATAGCTAAATGCTTCTACTTTTTTTCAATTGCCCGAGTCAACGGAGAATAAGATATCTCAGAGTCTCAAATCATCAAGTTACTGCTGCTTTTTCTTTCTCCTTCAAAAACAAAGACCAAGTTCAATACTTGACCCAGAGAAGCACCTAGAGAACTGAGCTAGGGAAAAGGAATTGATTGCCTGCATGCTTTTAAAAGGACAGTTTTCTTAGCAGTGACTTCCTACCAGTTAAGACCATTTGGGAGAAGGACGAGAAGAGAAAGACAACTTACCATTGGTGGAAAAATTGAATCATTTGAATATTACAGCTTGTTTTAAAGACAGAAGGACACAAAAAGATCATTAAAAGCTTCAGGTACTGAATTAAGTCAATTTAAATCAAATTTGGTAAAGAAAGATATACATATTAGACATTACCATATAGAAAGTCATCATGAATTTGTAAGGAAAATTATGTAATACAGTAATTACCCATACAAATTAACATAGATCCACGAAACTAGGCTCAATGAAAGTAAGCAACCAGGTATAATCTGAAGTATCAACACAGTGTTTCTGTAGTTCACTTAATGGTTATAGTAATTCAGTTATTGGTTAGGGTTATTCAATTAACATGGAATGGTTTTTACATTTAGTGCAACATTAGTAATCATAACAGTTAGTGTGTGAGTTGACACTCGCAAACTTTACAAAAATCACAGTTTAAAGCACACTTTGTAATGGTGATCACTAATAGTGTTGGAGAGGAAAATGTTACCAATTTGAGGGTAATATGTCCTTTTGAAGTCCCAGCTCTTTAATTTCCTTCAGTACTAGGAATTAAATTGAGGAACTTCACCCTGTTTCATGTATTCCCCAGCTCTTTTTAATTTTTTATTTTGAAACAAGTTCTCATTAAGTTACTAAGTTAGTGAGATGGACTCAAATGTGCTATCTTCCTGCCTCAACTTACCAGAGTGCTAGGATTATAGACATGAGCCACCATATTCAACCTGAATTTTTAAAGGACTATAATAGCTGCAAGATTCATTTATGATTCATATTTGTTTCAAAGAAAGATTAGGATTCAATTTAACTCTATTTTTTTAAATAAGTAAGTTCTTTAGGAATACAGACCTGGTGAGGCGGGTTTGGTTTCAATCTGCTTCTTTTTAAGTACCTGCTATATTTTGGGCATTGACTCCTATTAGAGCTGGAGAAAAGGGAGCAGAAAGGGTAGCCATGGCCTCTAATGGACCTTCCTTGGCTTATCAGACTGGGGTCATCTGTAGCCACCAAAAATATTCACACTGGCCTTAATCATTCCAATTATACATTTCTCCAAAGGCTGACACAAAGGAGAGCCATCTGATGACAGAGGAGACAAACCTTGGCTGTCCCTGACATGCCCCTTCCTCCATTTGTGTCCTCAGGAGCATCCCACTTTGACCAGTAAAGTAGCTTTCCTGGCTAGTTTACTAGAATCCCTTTCTGTCTATTTTTTCTCCTGCTAGATAAGCACAGAGGTCTCCCACCCACCCCACCCTTTTTTTGCTGTATCCCCAATAGTGCCAAGCAAGTATGCATTTCCAGAAAATTCTTTCTAAAAACAATCCATAACACAACCAAGAATGTAGGAAGACCAAAGACCATTAGCTATTAATGTACAAGATAAAGATTTCTGCATCTGGAAATTCCAATGCAAAGAGAAAAAAAACTGGCTAAAGAACCCCTGGGCCTGTGAGAATGAGCCGCTGGACATGCTGGCTGACTAGTGTGGCATTCCCTGGTCTAGTGCCTCCCTGGCAGAGTGCCACCTTGACAGTCAGAAGCTGTCTCCCTCTGCCTTCTCCTCCGTACAAAGCAACTGCCAAATTCTTTCCTTCTAGATGAACACCCCATACCTCCAAGGCTTTACCCACTACTCGGGACTGAGAACCCATATCAGGTTCATTTAGGGGCTACAGCAATCCCAGAAACCCCAGCTGAGAGACTGATTCTGATTCACACTGTCTGGCACATTTTCCTTTGCAGTCTTCCTGCGAAAGATGGGGCTTAGCTTCTCCACAGGAACCAAGAGCATTAGGATGATTTCCAAATGAGTTTCCATTTTATCACTCTTTTGATTAGAAGGCATGAGCAGTGGGTGAGGCTCAGTTGCCTAGTATGTACATTGCATGTGCAAGGTCCTGGACTTGACCCCCATCATCACATGTACACGTACAAAGTCAAGAGGTAAGAGAGCATGGTTAACTCTCTTTGCAGCCTGCCGACACATTTTGAGAGGCCCATTAAAAAAAAAATATATATATATATATATGTATATATATATATACACACTAACCCTTCATCATCAAGCCCTTTTAGAAATAATAAATTGATGAGCAAATAGAGATGATTTGTAAAATTTCCTCTCCAGGCATACCACGGTGCCCGTGTTCTTACTCAAATAGTTTCTTGTTTGGATTCAATAATCAAAGTTGCTTTTAAATCGCAGCATTTTATAAAGGAAAGGGACACATCAGCATCTTAGCAGAAATTTATCCATGAGGATTGTCTCCATTTGAAAGATGAAAAATTTGGTTGATAGGAAATTGAAAGAGAAGGGGCTGGGGATTTAGCTCAGTGGCATAAGTGCCTGCCTGGCAAGCACTAGGTCATGAGTTCAATCCCCGGTACCCCCCCCCCCCCAAATAAAGGAAATTGAAAGAGGAGGGAAATGTAGTTAAAGGAAGACTTTTCTTGGAATTGAGGGACTGCTAGAAAGAATGGGGGCAGATATGGGTGGGGGAGGAAAGAAAGATGGTAGGTAAAAATGAAGGGATCAAAAGATGATTACAAAGGGATACAGGGATAAAGAGATCCAGAAACAAATGCCAACTACTTCACAATTTTGCTTAGGACTGATTGAAATCCCTGGAAGATCCTGCTTGACTTTAAACCTCTAATCCGCTAATAAATAATTTACAAATTTAGAAAGCTTGATTATATATTTAATTTGAAAGAAGCATTAGATAAAAAAATGGAGAAAAAGAAAAAAAACCATCTCTTTACTGCCACAATGAAGAAACAGTGAGATGTTGAAATTTTTAAACTGTGTATCTTAAAGTACAGCGTCCTCTTTTTGGTAGAAATGATTCTTAGAAGATATTCATGATTACTTTTAACTTAATAATGAAATCTTTGAGCAAGAGTGAAATCTGGGACAGCAAATTATTTCAAACGTTTTTAACATGGACATCACCTGATTACTAATCACAAATGGCAGATATTTTAAGCATGGAGAAGAACCACAGTTACTCACAGCAGTATTTTAGTCCTGACTGGCTTTTCCCATCACGCAGTGCATCTGTGTCTTCTGTTTGCCAGGTCCATTCACGTTGTGCTCAGGAAATAATGTCTAATTTTAATACTGGGCCAAGAAAATCTTAATCAAAAGATGCCATTAAAAATAATCCAAGACATCCTTTTTCTCAAGGCAGGCTCCCTGGACTCCTTGATACTGATAGTGGGAAACCTCTTACGAGTAAAAGGTCTTAGCGATGGCCAGTCACAGCAAGAGCCACTCCTGAGTGACTTTTATCTCCACCCTGTGTCCCCATCATCTTTCTAGTCCAGCTCTTCCTCTTCCTTTTCCTCTTCCCAAAGACCCGCCTACCACCCAGCAGCCACAGCCCACTCAGCCCCCATGGCCCTGATGCTCTGGTGCATTTTGGACCACTAAGTGGACCATACTTACAGTGGGATCTTCTAAAATATTAACTTATCCTCATAAGTTTACAAAGGAACAAGCATAAATTCACTTTCAGTCTTCACTATAACTCCCTGATGTATTCATAAGACTAAACATCCTTGTGATTGGGTCCTGGGACCCCTGAAAATGCCGTCCTTTTGTCCGTCCCTCAGCTCCTCCTAACACTTGCTGTTGTCTGAAGGGTTCCAGGTTCCCACTCCTGATGCTTTCTTCTCCTCCCCCTACTGTCTGCTCCCCTCTTTCGGGTCAGCACCCATGTCTCCTCCTCGGAGGGGTCTGATGTCTCTCCTTCCCAGGGATGGGGACTTTCTTACACTGTCTCTGGGCAGCAGTGGTAATAGGACAAGCGACCACATTGCTGTCACTGTCCTCTTATTAAACAAATTCTTGCAGAAGTCCCTTGCTTTGCTGGGAGCACTGCCTTTATGAATAGATTCAGTCAAATCTCGGGTCCCTTGTGATCCAGGGAACTGAATTCAAAAATTAAAGTTTTATCTACCTGATATAAATGAGGAAAAAGTAGTTCAACCAGGATGTCCAGTTGTTGCATTAGAAATAGATCTTGTTTCAAAGAATCACAGTTACCCCAAGCTACAGTGGCATTTAATAATCACAGAGTTTATGAACTGAGAAGCCATGAATTATTTGGCTCTTTAAATTTTCCTTAGCCTCAGTGCTAATAGGTGGGACCCAAAATATGAAAATCAGTCAGAGGTAAACAGGCACCCTTCTACTAAAGAGGTCAGTCCCTTCTTAATTTAATCCTTTTTTTTTTTTTTTATGATGAGGAAAGGCATCTCTATACCAAATCCTAATGTCTGACATGTAAACTATTACACCAATATGTATACCTCTCAGGATATTTTATTTTATTTGCATCTCATTACACAACTTCACAGAAAGAAGAAACACTTTTTAAGAAGAAAATATATCTTAACAAAATGATATATTTCTTTTCTCCTTTTCAAGTGACAACATCAGAATCAGTTATGTGCATCTGGCCACACAGACATTTGGTCCTGCCACCTTATCTTCATGGTGGGTGACTCGGGTGCCCACCCTCCTAGAGGGGTGGCAAAGATCATAGCAGCCCACGTGGCACACAGTGCAGGCTCAGTAAAAAAGTGATGACGAAGGAGTGTTTCTCTCTTGCTTCATTTTTGGGCAAAATGAGGATTATTTCTAATGTTTTTATACAACTAAGGACACAGAGAAATAAAAACTATAAATAAATTGCCCCAAATCATAAAAATCAGTTGTCAAAAGTGTAGCATCTGTCTTTACTCCTTAGAAATCCTAGATCCCAAGTTTTTCTCTGGCATGCTGAAATGACTTGAATGTCTTCACCCCTTGGTTAATGGCATGTAGGGCACAGTTGAGCAATGTTTTTTGTATTTTAAGTACTTCTAAACCACATAATTACCGTACCTAATTTTTAAAACTCCTAGGCCAGACCCTAAGTACGTGACTTGACATGTTATGAAAGGTAGCTGTAAAAATAGGCTGTCCATTGAGGGAGAACACTCACAGACTTGTTCAGTGTAAGTTGACAGGACACTTCGCCCTACAAAGACATCCTGTGCACTTTATTTATGTTTACGTGGCAGACTGGTGAGACTAATCTGTACTCTAACAGGAAAGAAACTGGCTAGCTGGGCAGGACTGAAGATGCAAAGCCCAGCAAAGACAAACTTCTCCCAAGACCTGCATTGTTCTTCAATAGTTCTAACGCTGGCTGCGCAGAGGGTAACTGGGCTCACCTTTAGCACGGTAACCCATAGCTTGAGACTGGGCTAAACAGAATCACTCTCTACTTTCTGAACTAAAGGAAGCCTGAATTGCTTTCCTGTTTGTAGCACTGGAGCCTCTCAGGGTGTACCCCACCATTCTAGATGTGCAGAACTCCTAAGTGACCCTATACTCAGCTCCCCCAACAACAGCGAGCCCTTTACAGAAAATACCTAATTACCCAAATGATCAAATAACTACATTAGCAAAAGTGACTCCCTTATGAAGCTTTTGGAAATGCTGCATATTAGCCCAGTGAACAATAACTTGCATTCCAGAAGGTACAAAACAAAGAAACAAAATGTTTCATCAAAATTCAAACAAATTATGATCAGCTGGGAACTTCAGGTAAAGACTTCCTGCCTCTTTCTAGGGCTTCATATATTTGAAATCCTCCTACTTCCTTTATTTTGGGCTCATTTAAACACATGACAATATCTATATATTTTTTCCCAAATAAAGTCCTACTGTTCCCTCATAGTAGCTTTGATGCTTCTAAATTCACAGAATGTCTAAGGGTAAATATAATTTTTTTGCTCTCAAAAAAGAGACCAAGGCTACTAGAAAGCTCACAAAAATGATTTTTAAAACATGAGCGTGTGGCCAGCTATGAGTGTCAACAGGCAGTTTCATGGAGCAGCGCCAGCCCCCGTGCTGCACCAGGAAGTCTGCTCTCAGCTCATCCCTGCAAAGTCAGCCTGCAGACACGCTGCTTGGGTTTGAGAGTGGACCTTGTCCTTACACTCACTGCTCTGTGTCACCTCCGGGTCACTAGGGGACCTTTCCTGTTTAGCCTATAACCCAAACCAGCAACATTTCACCCTTATCTTTATTTTCCTCCTAACACTTGCTTGGAGAGTTATAAAGGGACGTGCAGCACCAGGCTGCATGCAGTCCAAACGAGAAGATCAGAGAAGCACTGTGCGGGTGCCAGGCCTTAACTGGTGGTGTCCAAAGAAAGGCACCTCTGGCAAAGTGGGACTTGAACTTCAAATAATAAACCACCCAGTTCCCCCTGGTTTTCTGTCTTTTTCCTCTTGTGTTTCATAGTGCAAAGGCTGCCAGCAGAGACCTTGAAAAGCTAGTGCTCACACTGCTCAGCAGCTAGGGACAGGCAGCTAGGGACAGGCAGCTCTCATTAGGAGCAGTTAAGTTCTGACCCTTTATAAACAAATCAAAACATCCTTATTACCTTTTAGAAGCTTGGATGTTTTAGCCAAATGGAAAAAGAAAACTGTACTAGGCAAACAGCTTCCAAGAATAATTTACTGCAGCTTAGGAAAGAAAAAAAAAAAACCCTATTTTTCTACTTCTTTATCCAATATCAGTAACATCATAAACAAAAGCCTGCTTTAAAAATAAAGGCATTATACCCTGATGTTAACTTTTCCTGGCATCTGTTTATAGACTTTAACGGCTAGATTTAAATTCAGAACTTGGACCCAAAAGATAGCTATGTGATTACTGCTCATGCATAAATTGTAAAGTTATAAAAAAAATCTCATTAATTAGCCCATCAAAGATACGGTAATGGTCAAGTACCTGAGTCTGGCTGAACAAACACTTGATCCATTTCCTGGTGGAACAGTTACAGGTAGTTAGAAGCCTCTTTAGTTTCCATTCTTCCCGACCAAGCTGTATTAAAGCAGGAGATAGTGGTGGCTGTGAGCAGCTGATGGCACACCCCGGATCTAAAGCTGTTGTTTCAGGCTTAGAAACTTCCCATTAAAAGCCCGAGTTAAAGGGGCACCGTCTTTCTGTGTGAGGCATCATTAGCGGCCAATACAGCTGCTTCTTTGAGCGAGCCATGATTTCAGTTCTGCCTCGGCAACTCTTCAGAGGATTCTGCTTCAGTGAGTAGAGGCAGTATCCTAGCAGTGAGTCTGAAATCATCTTCAAGAAAGCATTAACATTCAAAAGGAGTACAAGGGAAAACATCACTGGGCATTCCCATACCTTTTCAAAATCAAAGCCATAAATCTACCAGTGCTCTGTCTTCTTTATTGATTGTTGACAGCATTGCTCTTTGGGGACATCAATTAGCACCTGCAGCTCCCATCCTCCCACATTGATTATGGCCTGTGACCTTCAGGTCAGCTTAATTAATGGATGGAAACAGCCTTTGGGATGTGAAAACTCCTTTTCTTAAAGAAAACTAAAGTGATCTTTTAGAAATGTAGCATTTATAGGGGCCAAGGAAGAAAGCACAGTTTAAAAAGAACCAAATCATGCTTTTACCACCCATTTTTAAATATTCTGGGCTTGAAGTTTCCAAGTCTGCTGTCCCTTTGGTCGATGAGGATAATGGTGGCCTTGTTGGGTTCCCAGCCCATGTCAGCCACCTGAGACCCCCTGATAAACAAAAAGGATGGACTTCTGTTAAGAGAAAGTCATTCTCATCTACAGACTCTAATTGTATGACACAATACTTAACTTACTTTCTTGGATGTAGCACTTAAATACATGTGGAAAATATTTTAAGATAAAACGCTTTTCTTAAAAAAAAATGCTTCTCTGGAAAGAATTCAGTATAATCCTCAAGATTGGAACATCCTTGTTTTTTGGCAACTCACCACATTCCTCGTTGAAGTGGAAGCACAGTTAGCAGCAACACGCCCACCCACCAAATGATGGGGTGCTTGATATTTAAAGCCACCTCTGTGCCTGTCAGCTCCGCTGCCTCCTCAGCCCTTGGGAGGAAGCGGCCATTTCAGAGCAGCTCTGGGAGCCGGAAGCCCAGCTCATGCCTGCAAAGAAAACCCCATCTGCAGAGAGCAGGCCCGAGTCCTACACAGACCTCAGAAACCATGGAGGTTGGTAAAAACCAGATGCTAAGTGTCAGGATCTAACATTAGAACTCAAGGCTTTAGGTTAGACTCTTACCTCCAAACAACAACAGGAAAGATGACTCCCCATATGTTTTCCTGATTTTTAACTGAATTCTCTCTCTAGTTAGTTTTACTCACCTATTTTCCCATGAACACACACACACACCCCACCCCACCCCAGAAAACATCATCGTTAAATACTAACTGCTGTCTTTTGGAATTGCAGCTGGCCTCGGTGTTCTGGTACAGGGCACACCCTACCTTGGCAATGCCAGTGGAGTGTGGCGACCCCACCCCTGCTCATACACTTATCATTCCATGTAGTCAGAAATAAGCCTGCACTCTGGCTCACCCTGCCAAAGAGGCCTCCTCACATATTGTTTTAGCCTGTGGCCTCTCCGAGGTGGAGGGGAGCCCAAGAGAGCTGGGGGCAGCCAGTTCTCCAGCTATTCCACAGGCTAAAGCCTGCTCCGGGGCTGGAGCTTTGAGTGCTTGGCCTATTTTTAAACTCTCTAGCAAAGTAGATTCTGTAGCCCCCCGTGACGACTTCTGTTTAAACTAACGTCTCCACTGCTTACATGGTACAAACGGGTTGGCGCATTTCCTTTACTTTCCTTGCCGCAGAAAGCCAGTCATTAACCACCATAACATCTTTGTCGGAATGCTTTTTCTTCCCATGGAAGCTGGAACACATAAACAAAAGAATTTTGATGAAGATCTGGTGTTCTACTTGGAGGCAAGTTTGGATATTTCTTTTAGAAGACAATTATAATCTCGATTTATGGGAATCAGCCTTTCCTTCCTCCTATGCAGCTACAGTCCATGAATCATGGATTCTAAGACAATGAATAACGATTTATAAAAGTCCATTTGAGTCTTTCATGGAGGGTCCTATGTGTCTTTAGTCTTTAACAGTTTCTATAGATCTTCTTGGAATTATTTACAAAGTTTCTGCTCTCTGGCTTGGCTTTAAAACAGGCAGGGACCCAGAATTGGAATGAAATAGGCCGATTTCATGACATATAAATGTACACTTCTCCTTACCCATCCTGACCTCTGGGTTACTCTGGTACACTAATTTTGCCTTTCTCTTCAACCACACTGTATCATGAGTTAATATTAGTTAGACATTTACTTTAAGAACTTTTCCTACTTTGTTGTTTCAAATCTCACCTTTTTTAGCTTACTGGGGCTGGGGATTTAGCTCAGCGGCATAAGTGCCTGCCTTGCAAGTGTGTGGTCATGAGTTCAATCCCTGGTACCGATAAAAAAAGAAAAAGACAAAAAAAAAATTCTTTAGCTTACTTACAATTCTTTCCTAAAAATTTGATAATGTACTTTTCCATAATGACACAGATGGCAAATATGAGGCATCTTCATAAGCCATCACAATTATTAATTGTGTTTCTTCTGACTCTGCCCAATTCTTTAAAAGTGGAACACAGTCTTGATATATCCATTTTGATTTGCTCAGATCAAAACATAGGTTTTTTTTTTGTGCACTTGTCTATATTTACAGGTCAGTAAGCATTCAAAGTGCAGGAGAATGCTGGGGAAAGTTAATAATATTCACATGTCTTCAAAATATAAACGTGGTTTTTGTTACCAAGCTGTTTGTAAAAAAAAAAAAAAAAAAAAAAAAAAAAAACCAAAAAAACTTCTGCTTCTTTCAAGCATGTTCTTGTGTTCTCTTATCTGGGAAACACTCATTGAGCTCACACTTACGGTCATATATGACTCTTAGCTCGTGTTAGGTGTTGCAAGAATAATCACTAGGGGGGTGAGGGCCCTGCTCCTCTAGGTTCAGCCTGTGCACGAGCCTATTCTAAAAGCCCCCTGACAAAGGCCCCAAGTAGCCCAATTTTGTGACAACCACAGAGCTTGCTGACAGCTTGCTCACTTTTACCACTGTCTACTTCCTGGCCTTCTTATCTACTGATGACCCCACACACAGTGGTGTTCTATCTTCAGCTTTCTCTAGGACTTGATTTCACAAGATCACTAGTGGCCTCTAATTATCTAATCAAAAAGAGCCCTTGCATGTTAATTTTCCATACAACTGGCAGCATTGGATGTGACTGACAACTCACTTCAAGAAAGACTCGTATAGAAAATGTTTAAAAGTCAGGTAGGCCGAGGCAAGTGGCATACCTCCCGCCTGTTACCTTCTTCTTTACAACCTCTCTCTGGCCTTCCAAGGTTCAAGCCAAATATAACTCGTGCCCCTATGCGCATTCAATGTGCAGTCACAATGGAAATGCAGCCAGTTTGGGTATGAGTTTGTGAACCCATATTTCTAATTCAAACAAAAGAAGTAAATGTCGTCTTACATGTATTATTTTAAATTTTTGTCTCCCTGGTTTAAAACTACTAAATTAATAAACTATCTAATATGAAGCATTTTTTAAAAAATCAAGGCTAGTTCAGTTTCTAATATCCCTTTCTATTTTCTCAGGTCAATATAAATACAAGTTTATTCATGTACTCATCTATCTTCACAGGTCAGTGAGCATTCAAAGCACAGGAGAATGCTGGGGAAAGTGTAATAATATTCACAACAACCTTATACATTAGGATCCATATTTCAGCATTATTAGATGCAAGCAGGTGAAAGGCCATCTGCAGATTGGCAGCCTCCTGTTTTGATATTTTCTCAAATGCAGTTCTGCACACATTACATCTGTGTTACACTGAATGCTCAATTGGCAGCTGATGAGTCTAGACTAGAGAAATATTCAAAATGAAGTTGGGGAACAAACAGCACTGTTACTCAGTGAAATGCATTTGAAAGAAAGAAAAGACTGATAGAATTTAATACTTATGAGGATTTCATATTGCCCTACAACATTAAATTTGTTCATTCTTCCAATATGTCAAAATTAAAAAATTAAAGCATGCTGAAAGGAAATACATCATGCTTATAAAAAACTGATCTCAAACCAGAAGAGAAAATGATATCACAAAATGCACAGCAATACTTCTAGTAGAGACAATATTTGCAACATTTCTGTAATTAACTCTAATTATAATATGAAAATGTAAGAACATCATTATGGATTATCCTTGTTCAAAAGAAATACTTTGGAGTTAACAATCTGATGGATAATTTTATTCTTCTAAGTGACTTTTGCAGTAATGACAATTTTCTCAATGGTTTTGAAATACTCAGTGTCTTTAAAATGCCATAGAAAATGCCAATTAAAGTTTCATACGAACCATCCCTATACGTTTTTATGTCATCATCTTGGAATTATTCTTCCCTTCTGCTCAACAGCTGCATTTTAGGAAAGAAACTATACCATGTATACAGTGTGAGCACTGAACAGCCCAGGACATTAAGATGAGCAAGAAAATGAAAGAGAATATACCAGAAGATACTAACCTGTTAGCTTGACTTTAATACCTGACAACATTCTGGAACTGAAACTGTTTCCACTGAAAAATCAATTTGAAAACAGCTAGAGGAGAAAAATTGCATATGAAGCAGTTTAAAATGCTTGTTAAAAAAAAGAATCAAGGAAAACCAATCTCATTTTTTGATATTTGAACTTGTGGAGATGGGGAAGGAGGATGAGAAAGAGGTTGTGAATGCGGTTGCCAAATGCCAGTTTCGGCTGTTTTATTGCTGCACCTCATAAATAACCTGCTTAGTGACTGCTTGAAAAATTTAACTTTAACTGTAAAAACAATCGATAATTTTAACTATATATTACTTATTAAAATAGACAAGTATTAAGGTGAAATATTTCTCCTCTAACTCTATGTTCCAAACTTTAGTAGGAGGCCTACCACCTATATTTTTACTAACAAATAGTATGTATTATATATTTCTATAAAGTCTCCAAATATTATAAATCACTTGTATTTTGTCGTATATGACATTAAATTGCCATATAAGCTTGTTAAGCATCATATTTTACAGGCGAGGGTCCATATTATTTAATTCCGTCAAGCAAAGCATCTGTGGTTTGAATAAGAAAACTACATGATTAATGAGATAGGGCATCTGAGGTCTATACTTCGAAAATTTATATATTTGAACTTTTTATTTCTCTTTGATTATTTGGCCATAATAACTATTTTAACTATATGAGAGAGAGACTCAAGCTTAAGATTTTAGGTGAACAGATCCTCTTTGAAAAAATAACTCTATGAATTCCCCATTAGGAAAAATCCATGTGTCCCACACAGAGGTCTTCTGCCCGAAATTCTTATTCAAAATATATCTTGTCTTCTGCCATCTCTGTCTTTGTCCACTTCTGGCCTTCCACTAACACGGTAGTAAACAATGACCAGAATAAGAATCCAGAGTGAGGAAGACATAGACACAGGGGTAGAGGGAAGTGTGGTCTGTTCCTGGCAGGGGGAAGGTGATTGGAGGAAGGCTGGAAGACCAGGCAGAGCTTAGAAAACACACAGAAGAGCTACGGTTGGAAGCGACTGACAAGCGAGAAGGCCAAGGTCGGGAACGAGGAGTGGGGCCAGACTAGGGACAGGTGAAGGCCTGAAGACATGGAGCGACCTCACTGCTTTCCAGGGTTAGAGGGGCTGCCAGGGAGTGAAGCGCTG